GAAAAAAGGCAGTTATATTAAGGAGGTACAAAAGTGAGCATTCTCCTCACATGCACCAAAGACCTTGGTGACTTTAAATCTGAAGCATGCACAACTCTATTAGTTGTGGTAGTGTGAAGATGAGCTCAAAGATCTCCAAAAGACCATAAGTTACCTGTTACAAAACCACCCAAAAACTTACACCCTTCAACCTGTCCCACACAATTATTTGGTAGCCTTACAAGTTGTAGGGAAGACTTCCCTTATGCCCTCTTTCTCAAACAGACTTGGGTTTCATTCTGGCATTCAAAGATCCCCTATAACCTAAAAGTGCAGAAGAAGGGCAGGAACGTATCTACAGACTCAAGATCCCAGGTCTTGTTCAAATCTCCTCCATGATTTGTAACTCCACTCCATTCCAACTTTGTCATTGGACCACAATCCTCCTAAAGATACAGGTTTCTGTTCTAAATACTCCCAGTCATTGGAAGGAAACACTAGAGAGCCTCTTCAGCACATCTGGCCCAGAGGGGGCGGGGGAGCCAAAATTATGCTAGATTAAGTCAAATGGGCCACACCCAGTTCCTTCAGCCAAACTCACAAGAGCAGAAAAGTTCTAGTCTTGTGACAACGGGTCCGCACTGTGTACGCTAGGAACCTATTCGTTGCATTACAGGACCACGGAGTAAGCAAGCGATACAGAGTACGTAATCAGCTCTTTCCCCGTTTATTTTCCTCAGCGTCCACACGCTTAGCATACACAGACACACTCCGCCTCTTAAGTTTACACAGGGGACCTTAGACCAGCTACCACCTCTCGTTCTGAAACGCCTCATAAGATTTCCACGAAGCGAAAAAAGGAGGTCGAAGTACATCAAATAAATGCTTGGAAGGAAGAGCAGCGCGTTATGTATATGTTCCCCCCCCCCCGCCCCCCGATGGGCAGCCTTAAAACCAGAGCAACCTTCCGATTAATTGACTTGCTCCACTGTAAGCGACCCGCCGCTTTCAACCAGGCGGATTGCTTAACAGGTTTACTCGCCTCCCCAATGTCAACGTCTCCTCCCTCAAAAGGCCGTACATCCATCTCGGGGCGTTGACATCCACCCCAGTGGGGTTACGTCTGAAGAAAGGTGCGCGGAAAGAAGCCGGGATGTACCAAATCAAAACAGCGGCTGATTTGCCTCCTCCAAGGTCTTCCCTTCAAGAGGCTGGGGAGATTAAATCAGCTCCTGGAAAACAGACACTTATCTATACGGGGCAAGTTTTCGCGTGACATCAACACAGTCACCGGCTCCATTAGCTTAACGTTCCGAAGGAAGGAAGGAAGGAAGGAAGGAAGGAAGGAAGGAAGGAAGGAAGGAAGGAAAATTCCTTCTTTCGGAAACCAAAAACGATGAGCAAGAAGAAGCCGGCGCAGCCAAGGAAGAACGCGATGGGGGGAGACGGGACATCACTGCTTTTCTCCTCAACTCGGTCTCCCAAGTTAAAAAGAAGGAAGGTTTTACTATTATTTTACTAGCCCCAGGTTTCCATTTAGAGTTTCTCTCCCGATATTTAAAAATGCACTGCGTAAGATCGCAGTCCCCTCTCCCGCATCTTTTCCCCGCGCCTGCAACCACGCAAATCTCTACTAACTCGAGCGGTTTGGGGGCCAAACGTGAGAAGAAATCGCTCTTTCGGCGGCAGCGGAACACAAACCAACCGGCCTCCTACGTAAGATCACAAGCAGACCGACAAGGGCAGCGAGCAGCTGTTTTCTATCCGCTGCCTCCCCTCCGCTTATTTCCTTTAGTATCTAGCATTGCTCCCGTCAACAGAGAAGTGTGGAAAAAAAATAAACTTAGCAGGGCTTGACTGGCAACACCACCAGTTGCACTTTCCAGTTTGCAGAGCAAATCAGCGGAGCGGGGAGACGAGCCTTTCCATCCCCCGTTGGGACTCTCCGTTGGAGAGAAAAACGAAAAGCAAAAACTCTCGGCAACAAGTGTCGTCCAAACAGCACCGCGGCAACGCAAAAAAAGAAAAAAAAGCAGAAGCGAGGAAATACCTTGCCGCCTCGCCGCTGCTTCCGATGAGCCCCGGAGTTCAGCCGCTGCTGCCTAAAACTCGGCGCTCCGCAAGCCGAACGCACCAAGCCAGATAGATACTCAGCGCGCCGCGCACGAGAATCGCGAAGTTCTTAGAGGAACGCAGTTATCTTGAGCCAACCGCGGTGCCGTACCTCTTGGAACGTACCATTATTTTTATCCTGGGGGGGATCGATTTGGATTAAAAGGTGGGGGGGAAAGAAGGGGTTTTTCTTTCTACGCTTGTCACAGATCTCGCTGATGTCTATGGGTACACGCCTCTATTTTCTGTTACTGCCCCGGGAAGCTAAAATACTACTCAGGAAAGCCAGGAAACGTTATTTCTTTCATTTTGCGGAATAGTAGCGCCCGCAGGAGTGGGCGTGGCCTTGCGAAAGCGTGGACCGGCGGCAGCTTCATTGCCCGGGGTTGAACGGGCGGTAGCCATTGGTGGCCCTCCTGAGAGACTACAGAAGAACTCGCCTTTGGCGGTTAAGCTTTAGAAATAGGACGTTGGAATGTTTTTCCCCCCGACAGAGACCGATACACCGGTATATTGAGCCTTTGTGGCGCAGTGGTAAGAGTGCAGTACTGCAAGCTACTTCTGCAGCCAGCTGCCTACAATTTGGCAGTTCAAATCCCACCAGACTCAAGGTTAACTCAGCCTTCCATCCTTCCGAGGTGGGTAAAACGAGGACCCAGATCGTTGGGGGCAATAGGCTGACTCTGTAAACCGCTTAGACAGGGCTGTAAAGCACTATAAAGCGGTATGCAAGTCCAAGTGCTATTGCTGTAACTGTAGCTCGGGTCCTTTCAGTTTGGTTTTTATTCTGTTTTTCTGCCTCGTTCTTCACACACAAGATAAACTGACGAAGAAAGGACGAAAGGTTGCTTCGGGGATACAGTCGTGGGATTCAGAGAGGCTTTCCCAGAAAAGCGTTTTAGCGGGAAGAAACCTTGCACTTTGCATCATTTAAGGAGTCGACAGCTTGACAGAAACATACAATGCTGAGCTAAAGCTAAACACACCCCATAAGAACTTTAATATGTTAAGCCTGCCGGTTTGGGGTTGTACAACATATTGTGCTTCATGCTGTTAAATTTTGGTCTATGGTGCTGTGGGAATGTAACCTGCCTGATTAATTTATGATTCACTATAGTGGTAGGTTACACTGAATAAATTACCATTGATTAGATGAGCAATATCATACAAACAGCCGATCTGTAACTATTCAAATTTTTCCTCCTTTCCCCCCTCCAGAAATGATGGAATAAATAATGAGGGGGGAAACAGGGAAGGTTACAAATGGAGGATGATAACATTTGCACACACCCTAAATGACAGTTTAAATGAACTATGTAGCTGTCCAGAAAGAAGCCTTATCTCTAGAAGAATCACAAATATGTCTTGTAGCTATAAGATCTTTTCTGTCTTAGTTTTTTTCCCCAACAATGAAAGAGTTGAAAAGAGTAATGAGAAAACACAGAATTGCAAATAGAGATTGATACAGTCTGATCTTCTGTACAATTCCTTAAATGAGGCTAAATAGAAAAATGAGAATGAGAAAAATTTCATCTAGAACCACTTCCATCAGATAAAACGTTTATTGCAAAATGGTCCTTGCAGAATTTTATCAAATACCTAGATAGCATCTTTCATTATATTCCATTCATATTTTTTTTTCAATAAAAAAAATCAACTAAAGAAAGAACAGAAGCATGTTCTTTTATTGACAATAATGCAAGCTATCTGGAAACATCAGCTGTTTAATAGAAGGGTTCCTGTGTTTTCATCCTGATACGTAGTAGTTCTATTTCCCTGTTCATCCCATAGATACGATAGCTCAAATGCTATGAAAAATGGTCCGAAGAACAGTTTTACAAGGATGTAAAACAAGATAATTTGGCATCAGGCTAAGAAAATGTAATACACTTGTTCATTACCAATAAAGGAGAATATTTCTAGCTCAGGGTTGAAATGGGTCCTTGGTGCTCTCTGAGTTGGTTGTTTTTTTGCAGATGTTTCATTACCTAAACTAGGTAACATTATCAACACCAGGACTGATGATGTTACTTAGTCTGCAAGAAAACAACCAAGCTCAGAGAGCATCAAGGACCCTTCATTTATTGATTAGTCAGAGAGCTTGGTGATTAAGCCAAAATTTAAAGCTGAGTTCCCATAATATATTCAAGCCATAGTCAATTAGCCCTTCTGAAAGGCAAAGAGATTGTGGGTGGCTCTTGCAAGGTGTTCCAAAGGATAGGAGCCATGGCAAAAAAAAAATGCTATTCTAGATCTGAAATTCCTTGATCAGAAGGGTGGCAGCAAGCCCCACCTGCCAGAAATATGTATATAAGCATTAAAAAATAGATACACTTATAGTCAGGTGGGATTTTTTTGCATATGTACTTAATCCTACGTTATTTGGGATTCCCAGACATCCCACCTATCAAACCACATTCATTTCAACAGTTATGTCCTTTGTGTCCCTATCCAAGGAAATATGTTTAGAGTTGGGTTATATAGGTAGTCCTTGACTTACAACTATTCATTTAATGACCATTCAAAATTACAATGGCACTTATTTACAACCAGTCCACACTTATGACCATCACAGCATCTCCACAGTCTTGTGATCAAAATTTAGGAGCTTGACAACTGGCAATTATCTACAATGGTCGCAGCATATCAAATCAAATCAAATCAAACTTTTATTGTCAATGCACAACATCTGTACAATGAAATTGAATGCCAGGGTCACATGGTGCCCATTTGTGACCTTCCCAGCAAGCTTCCAACAAGTGAAGTCAATGGGGAAGCTTCATTTAATGATCATGTGATTCACTTAACAATTGCAGTGACTCACATAACAACCATGACAAAAAGGTCATGAAATTGGGTGTGAATCAATAACACCTTGCTTAAATGCTGTTTTGTTTATATTTTCATAGGTTGAAATGATTATACCTGTGAGATGCTTCACTTGTGGTAAAATAGTTGGAAATAAATGGGAGGCATATCTTGGCCTTTTGCAAGCAGAATATACAGAAGGGTATGCATTCTCAACTCCTATATTTTCATAACTATTTTGTAAGATAAGCAATAATTTTATCATTATAACAATTTGGATTGCAGTGTAATATTTAAGTATATTATTTCCATGCCACTCATGCAAATGTTGCTAATTTTTTGGTGGCTTCAATTGATAGCCTGTACAGGATAAGACATTGCTTAATTATTCCTTTGTAGTGTCCTCTTAGACATGTATTTCTGAGTAACACTTTAGTTTGTTATATTATGAAAACAGATCAAATAATTTGATTGATTTTAAAATATTAATCTTGTTCCACTAACCCCTAATACCAGTGATGGTATTTGACTGGTTTGGCCCGTTTCTGGCGAGCTGGTAGCAGCGATGAGCAGTGGAGACCAAACCGGTTCTCTCTGCTGGCTCTGCTATTGGGCCTGCCCGCCCACCCGAGCTTCCATACTCACCTTTATCCACTGAATTTGAATTGCAGCTGCTTTGCACCACACAGAATAGTGCCGCACGGCAGCTGCTGAAGTGACTGGGATCATGCAGGCTTGCAGGAGGCAAGTTAGAATGCCTCTGTGCCTGCGCAAAGTGTGCATTTAGTGCACGAGTGCACGCAAAGTTTGTGCACATGTGCAAAGCGCGCCCACCAAGCCACGCCCACTGAACCAGTGGCAACAATATTTGAATCCCACCACTGCCTAATACTGATATGCTCTTTGAAAAAAAAAAAAAGCTTGCTCACTTTTGCAGTCATGTAATACTGTTTTTCAATAATAGCAATTAAATGGCACATTATGTTGAATCCTATTATGTATTATAAAAGCCTGAAAAATATTTCTTCCATTGATTGCTAGTATTTGGAAACTGTTGTCTATTATTCTCTTTTGTGCTGTATTCTCAATTTTCCTTACCTTGGTAGAATTGTCTCTGGTTGCAGTTAATCATGGTGTGATGGCCATTGATTTTTCATTGCGAATACAGAATTGGAAACTATGGAACCACAAGCTGATATTAAATAGCATATTACTAAAATATTTGCATGATAAATACATCTGATTGAGTGTACGCCTAAATTCTCTTGCAGTTTATTGTATGATTTTAGATTGGCCAAGTGAACATAAAATGCTTAATTGAATTCCTCCTAGCAGCAGAATTGTCTGTAGTGACTGTTATCTGACAATTTTCAGGACAATCAAGAATGTCAGATATTGTTAAAATAATTTATTGTAATAAAAAGGGGTCAGGTCACCTGAATAAGCTAGTTGTCCAGAGATGCAGAGATTCTGCCGTATTTCAAAATGTTGCTTTTCACTTACATTGAGATTCTTCAAACAGCACTGACTCAAAGCAGTATTGAAGAAAAGAACATAATCATTTCTGCTTAATTGTTTAGGTCCATATTATCAGATGTAGGGTTTTTAAAAACGAGCATGGATTCATAAAAATTGGTATATGAGAATTCTTTTGCAGCACTCAGCTTTTCTGCAGTTTTGGTGGAAATTAATGTGTTTATATGCATTTCTACTTAGAAATAAATTCCTTGGAGTTCAATAAAATCATCTCCATACAAGCTTATACAATTCTGCAGCCTATGTATGCTGGGATTTTCATCAAAACACTAATAAAACAAAGACAACAATTATAATACACCATTAAAATGTGTAATGGTCTATTTTTAGTTTTATTGTTGTTTGAATAGATTTGAGGTTGAACTCTTATGAAGAAGCTTTCATTTGATGTGGAAATCTGGAACTTGGGGAAGCTACAGATTGCCATTATGCGTTCATCAGTTCTCTGCTTATATTTTTTAGCTTTCATTTACTTGATCTGTGAGTGAATGTCATCTCAAACTGAATGTTAAATGCGCTAGATATTTTATGCCTACACAAATATTTACCCAAATCATGAGCTGTACAGGCAGTCCGTAATGACTGAAATTTCGATCCTAATGGCTGTTGCAAGTCGAGGATTACTTGTAGCCTCCCATTTAGAATGTAATATTTCCTTACATGTCAAAATATGCAATAATAACACTTGAAAAATGCCACCTTTTTTGAGACTATTCCTATCCTTGTTAGTGCCTCTGACTCTGCCATCTAAAAGATGCTAATTAGTCCCTAT